GGTTATGATTCTAAGAATTTAAAATTACATTTCATCTTACTAATATATTAAATTAGCCTCATTTAAATGAGAAGAAACTAAAACTCTGGAGATTTTTGAAACTTTCTGAAATAATGCTAGAAGTAGTAAATTGGGACTGAAAACAGGTTATTCCAGTTCTAGCTCTAATAATTCTACACATAATTTACAAAATTTCTTCAAACTCTAAACAGAGATCAAGGATTCAAAACCCCTCTTTCTTTAGTTGCAAAAGGTGTTGCCTGAACACAGGATGGCCAGCATCATTTATGGAACTATTCAAAAAGTATTAAGAAATTCAATAGTAGCTTCTTCAGTCTACTGTGGGGTTCTTTAAGATGGGAGGTCCTGGTCAACAGGTGAAATCACATGTTCAGGTCTCACAAACCTGCTCCATTTCTGATTACATACTGAGACAAACATGAAGCAGAGCAATTCAAACTGCTTTAAAAATAAATATTCATCAGGAGTTAAGTCATGGTCAGACAGCAAGCTGGCAATTTCCACATCTGAAATACTAAGCTGAATCCTCAAATAGGTATCAAGGTCAAGTTATTTGAAGTAACCATTCCAGACTTTAGAAGGCAAAACATCAGGTCTGAATCACGAAGTGCCTCTGAAGAACTTAACTAGGCTAGGCAGATCATCAGCAATCATTCAAAGCTTCAAGCTAAAGTAATAGATTTAGTTTATCTTTCTAATTTGGCTCTGAAATACAGACCAACCCTAAAACACCCAGTTTCATCACAATGAGATATAAACAGTGGTACCTGTTAATACTAACAATTGTTGGAGTTTTCCTTTATGAAAGCTGTCATTTCTCTGTCTTCATCCTAAGAGTTGATTGTGTCTAACATGATCTCGTCATTCCAAAAGTAAAGTTGTTTGTGCTCTGCTCATTTTAAGATACTTTCTCAGGCCCAATGAGCTTGGAATTGCACTTTCCATTTCAGATACTGTGAGAAATTTAACTTCTAAAGCTAGTTGAAGTAATTATGATTCAGTAAAAAGCTAAGCCAATTACCTCTTCTTAAGAACTGAACCTATTTTTTGCCACTAAATGAATTCAATCTGTGGCACAACTGTTGGAAATACCTACCTGCCAAACCAACACCAGTCAGGGTCCCATTATGCTATTCTGGGAATTAAATTAAGCAATGAGAGTGAAAGGGAAACTGCACATAGGGAATTGTTTTTACGAGACTTTAAACACTGGTTTTATGCTAAGTGTGTCACACACCTCGCCTGGAGCAGGACAGAATGACATACAAATGTACTTCTTACCAATGTGTTTCCAGGCCCTGCCTCAAACAGTTTAATTCTACATTCCAATGCAATGTATCACATCATGTGGCAAGTGCTAACTACTGCAAGTAATTATTTAGTGCATTATTCCATGGCATAATTCCCCTTTTCGTCTTTAAAAAAATATTTTAAAATGCCATGCAGGGAATGAAAATAATATAAAATTAAGGACACAATCAGGGTCTTAATAATAAACTTGAAGTTTCAGAACACATTTATTGTAGTAGCCAAAGAGTTCCTTCAAGAAAATTTAGCTATAATCATTCCAATACACTCTGAGGACAATGGAGCTTGGTATAGGAAGGAAGGACTCCATTATGTATTAGTAAAAAAAAAGTTGTGTCCTAAGCATGTGCAACAGTTCCATTTTTGAAAATCTGGGGTATCTAGACAATAATTGAAGACTTTTCTCTATTTAGAGATTTGCAAAAGCTTTTTGAATTCTAGGCATAGTCTCACCTCAGCACACACATTTTAAGATCCTTTGTTGCTGGTACATTGTATTACTCTCCTGCTTCCCTAAAGGACTCTGAGGGAGACTTAAGTGGTAAATATATGCCAGCAGCTCTTCTGTATGATTCTGCATTCTCAGAATGCTTTGTTTGTTTATTTACACATAAGCCATGACATTTGCCAGCAAATATATATATTGCTTTTTTAATAGGTGATGCCAGACCCAATGCTTTACAAATACATTCATCCCTGTGGCTTTAGCTTTTGATTTGAAGATCCTTGGGCTATTTGGAAAGAGGCTAAAGAATCTACATATTGTGTTAGGGCAAAGTCTAACAAAGCCATTTTTGAGGCTTGAAACTTTCCTTTTTCTTCTTGTTTTCTGTGACATAGCTAGTGATTGAATTGCTACCAACAAGAGTTACTTTTATGTCACACTTTATATTGAAAATACACATTTTGTTTATGTCCACTTACTATAGCAGTAGATTGAAGAGCATGTTCTAGAGAAATGGAAGAAGTGTGCATTTCCACTCTTCTTCATAGCAACAGGTATGAAGGGGTCCATTTTTGGTGAGTACTCTACCTCTGGGTCTTATGAATGGTATGAGACAGATAAAGGTGCAGATATAATGGAAAATATTTTTCTGTTTATTTTCCTTTTCCCTCTTCTTCTTCCCAATGGGGACCTCTTCAGACCCATGTGATTGTGAGAAAGCTTGTTAACAGGTTTTTAATGTGTGAATGCATTACATGGAGAAAGATTGCACAAACTCTTATAAAATAGCCATGAATACATGATATTGGTAATAAAGATGATGTTCATAACATTTAACATGTTTGAAGTACTAGTCATCAAACTGACGCTCTGACAAGAACTTTTCCTGCTTTATCACACCTAATTTTCCAAATAACTATGTGAGATCAGAAGCCCTGTGTTTTTACACATACTGAGTAATAAGGCATTGGGCAAAGTCACAATGCGTGAACATGAGTGGACTTGGATATAAAAGAAACTCAGTTTACCTCCAGGGTATGAACTCTCAGCCACCTGATGCAGGAAAAGGTGGAGGGCATGCAGCCATATATTACAAACAGGAAATTAGAACCTGTCAACACAATATATGTGGATTAAGAAGTCAGAGCTAAGATTTAAGAGGAGTGTCAAGGAGATGCATTTTAAATTCCCTCTTGGAAAGAGGAACAGAAGTTGAATATACTTCAGATAGATTTAGAATCCTATTTGCCTTCCTTTTTACTACTTCAGACTTGTAAATATGCCTGCTAAGAAATCAGTTCTTACACATTATTTTTAAAAAGCTGAAATTATTATATTAATAACAATACAATTACACGTAGCTGGAAGAAGAATTCTTTTCAACAGTAATATATACTCTGTTTGCATATGACAGTATTTTTTGTATCTGAAAATTATTTAGTTAAAATTAGGAAGTCAGACAAATTTTGTAAAGGCAAATGATAATATCCATAGCTCTTTTTGGTTTATATCACTTAATAAGTTTGTTAAATATACTCTTTCAGCTTTTATAAAGCTAATTTCCCTTTTCTTCTTTTAAATTTAGTTTTAACTGATACATTAAAAATAAAAAATGTACATATTAGTGGGATTCCACTTAATATTTTATATTAAAATATATACATATTCATATACACACATATGGCATGGTGTTTAATCAGGTTAAACATATGCTTCTCCTCAAATATTTATAATTTCTTTATGATGGAAACTACCAAAATCCTTTCTTCTGGGTTTCTAAAATATATAGCACATTGTTGTTATCTGTATTGCCCCTCCTGAGCATAAGCACACCAGAATTTCTTACTACTTTGTAACTATAACTTTGTATCCATTGATCAACCTTTTCTTATTTTTTCTCACTTCTCTACTTTTTACAGCCTCTGGTAATCAGCATTCTACTCTCAACTTTTATGCATTCAACTTTTTGAGATTTAACATATGAGTGAAATCATGAAGTACTTGTCTTTTTGTGTCTGGCTTATTTCACTGAATACATCAATCTCCAGTTACTTCCAGATTGTTGCCAAAGACAGCAATTGATTCTTTTTCAGAATCAAATAATATTCCATTGTGTATATGTACCACATTTTCTTTATCCATTAATCAGTTGACAGACACTTAGGTTGTATCCATTTCTTTACTGTTTTCAGTGGTGCTGGAAGGGACATGGAATTGCAGATGTTTCTTCAACATTTCTATCTATTTTCTAATGTTGTTCCTCTACTTTGTCAAAGTTTTCAAAGAAGTTGGATTTTATCTAAAGATTGTGATATTTGTATTTAAGTCTGAATAACTATAACATGATTTTAAAATGTTAAAACACTCAGATATCAATAAAACTGCTTAGAAAAATCTACAATGAAGATGATGCAATTGTGACTATTATAGGTTTGTTACTCAAGCTAAGGTAAATAAGGAACATTTTTTTATTTCCTTTACAAATCAAAATATTTTATCTGCATCACTTTACTTGGAAATTTTGATGCTCTTTATTTTAGCATTTGTAGTAAAGACATCATTATTAGCTTGCCATTTGTTTGTAGAGCTAATTTAGAACCAATAAATTGTTATGCAAAATCAAGTCATGGCTGTTGAAATGGTATCATTCATGACTATATAAATAAAATGTCTGAAACTTTATGTCCCAGGGTAAATATTCTATCACATTGTAGAATTAGTAGCCATATATTATAATTTCCAAGAAGCAATTTGAATGTTGCTATTAGAATACATTTTAATTATCATAGTCAAAAAATAGGTTTTTAGTAGAACAAGGATTTATTGATCTTGGATAAGTAACTAATTTATTTTAAAATAGTTCTTCATCTCAAAAAAATGTTAAAGATTAAATAAGTTATATGTAAAAATTATGTAATAAACATTTATTCACATCTTGTATATTTGGACAGTAAAGACACAGATATGAGCTCAATTATACTAGGTTTTACTGTTAATTTTTTTACAAAGTAAAAATAATCCCCTTGTGCTCAATATTAACTGAATTCATGACTACTTAATTAGGCTCTGCAGTAAATTTCTTCATTGCATTTGCTCATTATGTTAAGAGAATGAACGAAATGTTTATTGGTATGTGAGCACTAAAATATCCATAAGATGTGTATATAAATTAAATCTGGTGCACAAACATGCATTCCTAAACAAAATTCTCCTTTATTTTTTCTAGACAATCCCAAAGAGACAACTCGTGTAGCTGTTTTTGTGAGAATTTTGGATGTTAATGACAATGCCCCACAATTTGCTGTGTTCTATGACACTTTTGTATGTGAAAATGCCAGACCAGGACAGGTGAGCAACTGGAAGATTGAAAACACAGGGCAGTTCTGTATTAAATGTTTTATTTTCACAAACTTGACAGGAATGAATGAAAAAGGGATAGGAACCCTCACATATACTCCCTGCAATATTTTCAAACGGTGACATGTTTTTAAAATTGAGAATATCTAAAATAGCAGTGTACCAGGTTTCTTAATTCCTTCCTAAAGTTCTGGTGAAAAGAAAAGACATTATCATTTGCACACAAATGTATAGAAACAACTTCAGAGAGAAAAAGAGAGAGAGAGAGAGAGATAATTTTTAAATATTTGTTTATTTTTTATTTTTCGGTGGACACAACATCTTTATTTTTTATTTTTTTGTGTTGCTGAGGATCGAACTCAGCGCCTCGCGCCTGCCAGGCAAGCGCGCTACCACTTGAGTCACATCCCCAGCCCCACAACTTCAACTTTTAAAGCTTTCGAAAACATGAGCAAACTAGAATCCTCTGCTGTACCATTAGGTAAATATTGAAATTGCTAGAGAAATGGGAATGAAAGTTTGTGAAAACCCAGCAACAAATGCATGAAATCTTTGAAGCATTCCATCAATATTCAGATAAATGTGCAAATACATTTTGAAGTAGGGCAGCAGAATTTGCTTATACATTGGTTTTCATCATTACACCAACATGTAAAGTGCTTAATGACTCAGTTTTAGTCCTTTAAAGCATTCTCCCTACATCAGCTTTGTTTATAATTATTTAAATCTTTTCCTCAGTGGACTCATTTTGTTGTTTAAAAAGCTCCAGAATATATGGCTGAAAAGACTGTTCTTAATTGCTTTGAGTGCTATCTTCACAGAAGGAAGCTGCATGTTATAAATAATAATTGGGAATCCAATGTATTTTATTAGAGAAAGAGAAGCCATCATGAAGCTGTATTGTGTTTTGACATCATTTGATGCTTTTATAAACATCAATGTCCTTGTTATATTTTTATGCAAATTATATTGTGGAATAACTCGAATACTTCCTTTTGAATATACTAACAGGAATTCAATAGCCTGTCTATTGTGAGAAATGGTAAAATGGCTGCAATTGGATTCCTTTTTTTTTAACTTGAAAATATTATAGAAGTGTTTAATTGGGAATATTTAAATGACTTAGCTACTTCCAACTTCTTAATGAAACAGTGTCCACCCTAAAATACCATTCAAAATAGTCCTCTGCTTGGAAGACTCAGCATGAGATAAGTTAAAATATTTTCTCTAAGAGATAAATTACCCATTTTGCTACTACTGCATTCATTGCTCCCTCTATGATTATTCTATTTGATTTTCAAGAGATATCTTTTCAGAGCATTTCAATTATTATAAATGCAGACTTACAGATGTATTCAAAATATACAAAATAAAGAATCGTGTTTATTTTCCAGTGCCTTTTCTCTTTTTAACTGTAGTTGGCTCAGTAATGCTCCAGACTTTCTGTACGTGTAAAACCTAGTTGGCATAATGAAGAAAAATAATCCAAACAAAGATGATTTTAATAAAAAGCAGTTAGCCTACCTTAACTATGCTGATAGAAAGGACATGATTAATAATTCTTGTCTAATTGACTGCATGTACAAGTCTTCCACACTAGTTATTGTTAATATGACCAGTTCGTGAAATACCATCGTGTTCTCATTGGCTGAAAACTAGTTCTGCTTATACAAAAATGTTATAATAAATGATAGAATTCTAGGTTCTGACATCCAAGCTTGCAAACTTAAAGTGATTATTTGATAAACTTCTTCTCTGTGCCTTTTATGATAATCACTCATTAGCTTGGCCTCCCCTCCTCCTAAGAAAGGAGGATTAGGATGTCTGGGAATGCTGCAGTTATTTATAGAGAATCGCAGTCCACCCAATACTCCTGCAAATTAAGTGCTCTTTAAGTAGCACTTAGAAAAACAACATGGGGAATAATTCCATTCATTTGGTGTGCAGACAAATTGATAAGACAGAAACAAAACTAATTGCCACTCCCTCCTCCTCCTTATTTCCTGGCCTTAGCTCTTCCTTGGTCTAAGCATACAAGACTTTCTTAGATAGGATGCAGTTTGCAACTGATGAAGTATTAGAAGTCAGTCCTCTCCTGCCTAACAGGGTTACTTAAATTCTCACCTTTCTACCTCAGAGACAGGACCTTGAAGGAAGGAACAATAGGTCTTTTACTTCCCTTCGGTTTCCCTCACTTACCTTCACTCCTGCAGTCGGTAAAATGTATTCAATAATTTTCCATGTCTAGATGAAGAAAATACCATGTTAATCACAAAGAACCTTTCCCAAGGAATCTCTCTAGGGAGGGTTGCTGTTTATATTTACTGTTTACTAAGCACCTTATTAAAGCTAATACCACTGACAGCAAATATCAAACCAGATAGCAACCAAGACTTTATCAAACCAAAAATCGTTTCACATATTTTTCATAGGACAATATTTAGTTACTTCCTAACAGCTAAAAGATTGAAGTTTTCCAGAATAAAAGAAAGGTTTTTTTCATCAACAAAAACTCCTAGCTAAAACATTAAAGCATAATAACTACTTGTTTAATTTCAAATACATTAAAATCCACTCATTATTCCACATTTGGTTGTAGTATGATCACTGAAATATTCTTAATGCTTATATCAAATGTAAAAATACAATGATAATACAAACAATTATATTATTGCCAAGAAGAAAAGCTAAGAAATAGTTACCTATATCTCTTTTCCATAGCTCAAAATGAATATTGGATATCACCAGCTTGTGTTCATTTGTTTCCTAAGTGTGATAAATTGTTTCATTGCAATTGGATTAAAATGATTTGTCTCCAGTTGAAATAAAATATTGAGTGTTCATATAGAGAGCCAGCAGAAAAGTTTTATCTACTTCTTGTTGTGAACTTCTGATATTGATTGCTAGTCTTTATGGCACACTTAACCCAAACAATAGTTTTGTGATTTTGAATGTATGATTGGAATAGAAAGTGGGGTTAAATTGAAAGGTAAATTTTGAAAATAAAGGGGTTAAACACTAAAGCAAAGTATGTCTAAAAAAAAAAAATCTTATGAAGCAGTACCTCTATTTGCAACAGAGAAGTCTTAGAGTCATAAAATTTATTATAAAATGATAGGGATTCTGCAAAATGTGATTCTGTTTTTTGTAACTTTAATATGAATTGGAATTACTCCTTTCATCACAAAATATATCAATTAACCACTGACTTTTAAATCAATGAATTGACTTTTTCATTAAAATATCATTGAGCATTTTATATAAAACTTTATGGTTTACATATATTTAAAGATGTGGATATATGTCCTCAGAAATGTATTATTGTATTATTTTGAGGATAAAAATGAACTGCAATTGTTATTTGTAATAACAGTTACAATCATATGTTTATTTTGAGACATTGTAGTTTTTATTCTAAAGAAATTAGCTCTTTCTTGTGTTTATAGGTGTATTCATATAGAAATCTTTGTGACTAGGAATTTGAACTACTCTGTTGTCTTTCAAGATATGTTATTTCATTTATTTCTCTTCAATATACCCTTATGAATCAAAATTTTAAAAATAAATCTTTTAAGTATATTTGATAGATACAAATCAGTTGAGAAATTCTTTGGTAAATGAGTTAATAATTCTTGAGTAGTTTTAATACCTTTTTTATGTTTTTATTTTTAATTAACTCCTATACCATTTTTATATTTTATAAGTCTGGCTTCTATTTAAACTTATTATAAATAAGATTTAGTCAAATATATTTTTAAATTGTTTTAAACTAATTTAGTTTTAAATAATTTTTGATGCTTACTTCTAGGTAATAAACATATTTTTGCATGTCTTAATTAAATTCTTGTGTCATTTTTGATAAATGAGTAAAATAATTTTAAAAGTTAATACTTGAAATTTTTCACATTTCTATTGATGTAGCAAACTTTGAAAGAAAATAAGAATGGTTATAATGATCTCTTCATTTATTTCTTGTTTTGTTTAATGTTTTAAACTTGAAATCCCTAATTAAATCAAGAAAACCTTAGCAACAAATATTTCCACCAACTATTCACACAAAGTTAAATTGAATTGATGCATTAAAAAGCATATTCCTTTTAATTAAGCATATTTGATGATTTTTACAGGCATAAATAGACATCAATATGCATAAGAAGCAACTTTTGAAACCCTGATAATAATTGAAATATTTTTTAAAACAAAAAAAATTATTTCATATGTAACTTAAAGAATAAAGAAATCATATACCGATCCAAATACATAACTGTTACATATATTATATATTTATATAGTATCAATCATATACTATATCAAAAACAATGATATGATTATGTATAAACTGTTAAATGTTCCACTGTTATCAGACAGTTTTTTATTAAATCTTATATTAAAACCAATTACCATTTCCCCATATAATACATATCTTGAATTTAAAAATATATAATTGTATTTAAAGTGCAAATGAAGCAAACTATTGCTATCACAGTAGAAAATAATATATAAACTTTTCTTTGTAAAATTTATATTCAACATTATGTATGAAGTATCTATTTTCTTTTATTATGTTGCACCTAACTTTGGGGAGGAGCAAAGCAATATTTTTATTTCCACAATTTTTCCTACATCAGATCAGCTCTTCCCAATCAATGTTTAGATTTATGTGAAATAACATACTAGTTCTACATTTAAATATACAAGCCCTCAAAAAAGTATAATATCTTACAATTTACCATTTTGAAGGAAAAGACAATATTTATGAGAGAGAAATAAGTGGGACTGAGTGGTAGAAGAGAAATATCATTAAAAAGAAAATGATCATTAAGATTTATTCACCATGAACAAAATAAATTCTTTTAAATTTTTCTACAAAGCAAATTTTTTAAAATTATGTATTACAAAAGCAGATTATACATGTGTATTTTTGATGACTATATAATATTTTTCTCTCCTACAGCTAATACAGACTATAAGTGCAGTAGACAAAGATGATCCTTTAGGTGGTCAGAAATTTTTCTTCAGTTTAGCTGCTGTCAATCCAAACTTTACAGTACAGGATAATGAAGGTAAGTTTTAGAACTTGTTCATTATGATATAACTTGACATTAACTGGAAATTTCTTCTAAAGTAACTATTATAATATACATGATCTATCAATTTATTGATCTGCATTATGAAATTTTGTTTTTATCTGATAGTTAATGATATTTCATGATAATGTCTTGTTTGAAAATGTTAGCTCTCTTTCATTTAATAAACTACATGAGAGAAGTGTCTGTGTAGATATGAACAATGAGATTGATGTTGAAATGATTAGAAAGGCTAGAAATAATCACTTTGCCTAAGAAAAGGTATAGAAAATATGAATGGAGAAATAAGTAACTCAGTGAAAGTGTTATGCAAACTCTGATGAGATTGAATAGCAGCAGGTTTATTGAAGCCAAGTAGGCATAAAGGAAGAGTAAGAATGTGATGTAGCCTCACTAGCCGCTTAGAAAATATGATGCAAAGGCATTGCAAGGTATGCTGTTGTCCTTATAGTATACAAATTTTATTTTTCAGAAATTAATTTTTCTCATAGTCTCATAAAAATAAAACACATTTTACAGAATAGTTATGATTGTTTAAAAGTTGAACAGCTCTGTTCCCTGATAAATATGTCATTGGAGTCATTCTAGTTAAACAAAATTATGTTGTCAGATCTCTACTGGACTTATTGTATTTTATGTTAAGCTAACTATGCAAGCTTTTGTTTGCTAAAAGACATGAGTTTTAGAATGGCTGCAGATTTGTATATTTTTAAATAAGCCTCATAACCACATTGGCATGTATGTAGTGCTTTCTTCACAATGCATGATGTGTGTTGGCAGAATCAGAATCTAGGTAGTTTTCAAAGTATTAGCAAATAATTTAAGGTAATAGGTCATTTTACATTGTGCCAACCTTTATTCAAGCTATTTCATCTGGTAGAATCTTAGCAAAAACCAACTGAAAGGGGGGGGGGGGGGGGGGTATCTATTATCAACATCTGTTTTTTTATTAAATATGAATTTATTAAAATGCTCATGTTTTCTGTCACTCCAAACACCTAAAGTTATCAAGTTGAAAAAAATTAACACAAAGGTGGCAGTCAAAATGCAGAATGAATATTTAATTTCTAAATATGAATTGTAGACATTCATATGAAATATGAATTAGAGATTAAGTCTGAATTAGAGATAAACAACATCCTACTTTTTAATTTGCTGAACCTGGCAACAGATACATTGAGTTTTGTTGTTGTTGTTGTTATACATGACAGTAATCAAACATTGAATTTAGACGGGAGCTGTCCCTAGTACTGAATTTACAATATTGAATTGACAGTACCTGCTTCTTGTTGTATTTTAATTTTCTCCCTGCTCCAGTGAAACTGAGCACTGGTTATTAAAAAGTGATATAGACATGAAATAGTATTGTCTTAGCATGGCATTTCAAAGTTATTGGGGAAACCACTCAAGACCAGCCTTAATTAATTTTTGACAAATATTACCAAGAGTTCTTCAATCTATATACGGTACTCAAAGCAGGAAATAAGCCCACAGAATATAAACCAGAATATTTAACCTAATCATATAAAATTAATTATGCTGTGATACTGGGTGAAGTTTTTTTAAAAAATTGAAATAGCATATATATCACCTTAGTGTTAATTTTCTAGCCTTGTATTTATTAATATTTGCCTTAAACTCCCTTATTTCTATGTTATTCCTGTTTAAAATTAATTTTATTTATTCTATCATAGGTCAAAAATTATATCATGAATTTCTAAATATTCCATGAAATAATTTGAAATGAGTCAAACTTTATTTGGTCCCTCAACCTGTCAAAACTATTACAAAACTAAGGCTCAACCATTTGTTTAAAAAAAAATTAAAAATTAGACAAGCAAGATTCTAAAAGTACCATATGTATGCTCATATTATCTTAGGGTATTTAAGGGGAAAAATAGTTATTGAAAGATAAATTTTAAAATTTGTTTATGTGCATGTTATTTTGTTAGTCTGCTTTCCCAGCTTATGTAGTTAACTGGTATCATTAAGTTCCAACTCATAATTAAGGAATAGATTATTTTGTATTCAACCACTGTACTTGCAACAGATTACCACTATTTTTTTTCTCTCCTGTTTGTTTGATTTAGCAGCTCACTGACTCCCTCCCTATATTGGCATTTTAAACAACTCTGCAGGGCTGACTAAACAAAACTAACTTCTCTGGGAAAACAACCAGGATAGAAACTATCATACCAATTATTTTTTAAATATTACTTGTTTGGGGATAGAAGTCTTTTTTTCTTTTTAATCCCACAAATTCCATGTGAGAATACTAGGTGAATTACCAGGTAAAGAAAAAGTCAGTAGTATAATATGCTAGGTAGTGGGATATTTGTCTTTATTAAATCTTTACTTCAGTCTGGAACTTTATTAGGCACTTCTAAGAGTTAGCCCAGGCTTTCTGTTATTTCTTTCAGTTATATACATGCTTTAAGTTATGTGTTTGTTTGAATGAGTGGAAATCAATGCTCAGAAATGTTAAATAATTTGCATGCTGCTGGGTATGTATTGAGATTCTTCATGGATTTTGACTATTTTATTGCTTTAAACAATGTAACAATGCTTACAATGTATCCAATCCTATTTTCTTCATGAATATTGGATTGAGATATGCTGTATGTGTGTAAATGAAAAAATGAAAGAAAATAATATTTTCTTTTGGTCTACAAAGCAGATTTTCAGAAAACAGTAAAAAAAACTTCTCATCTATGTAAACTTGATATTTACTTATACAAACTCACCATTTTGAAAATACTATGGGATAATTTTTGAAAAGCTAGTTAGTAATCAATCCATAATGTTAGATTCTTTGAACTACCTTATTTGTCTTGTTTAATGGCATTGCACATATGTAATAGAAAACTTTATAATGGTTTTATATTTTTTATGAAGAGTTTTATTTATATATACAATCCTGGCTATCACCATGAGTTATCAGTTTACTATATGAAACAAACATTTGTAATGTTTTAAAATTTATTTTAGATAACACTGCCAGAATTTTAACTCGAAAAAATGGCTTCAATAGACATGAAATAAGTACCTATCTCTTGCCTGTGGTGATCTCAGACAATGATTACCCAATTCAGAGCAGCACAGGCACACTGACCATCAGAGTATGTGCCTGTGACAGCCAAGGCAACATGCAGTCCTGCAATGCAGAAGCCCTGCTCCTCCCTGCTGGTCTCAGCACTGGGGCCTTGATCGCCATTCTCCTCTGCATCATTATTCTGCTGGGTAAGAAACTTTAAAGAAAATTGAATCATCTTCTAGGATGCTTACTGTAGTATGATTTTAAACAAGGAATATTGCTATCAGAATAGTCCCTTGCCCAAACTAACACCAAAGTTTTAGGATATCCAGCCAGAATATGGAAGCAGTGAGACTTTTCATCATTCATATGTGAATCAAAATGTAAAAAAAGCAGCTTTAATACTGTCATTACAATATATGAAATAAGTAATGAAAAAGCAAGAAGGGTTGAGGGCAGAATAGCTTTGTTAGATTTTAGAAAGTTGAGAGACAGGTGATTGCAATTCTTGAAAAAAAATCAATGATTGGTACCTCCAGTTAGTTTATAGCTGGTCCATCACTGCTCTCCTGAGCCCTGTAGTAACTCTATGGTGTTGTTTCATTTTTGGATCATGTGCCAAACTCTAATTCAGGAGGAGGGTAGAAGCTGGAAGAGTATGATAAGATTTTAACCTCAACTCTGAAAGTTAGATATCAGCAAATCTCAGTAAGAGTAAAACAACAATGATAAGGTTTAAGATACATTCTGTTAGAAACACATTCACAAATTTGATCTAGTATAGGACTTCTCACCAGCATAACTATACTTATTATCAATTTTTCATACTTACATTAAAGTTAATTTAATAATTAAGCCTTCATTTCAAATTCTAAAATAATCTTTACAATAATTTATTTTAACAATTTTTACTGTTATAAAAAAGACAGCACCTTTCTATGTGAAGTTAGGACCAATAACAAAGACATTGCAACCACAAAGAATATTAAAAATATGTGTTAATTCCATAATATAGCTAATCCTTCATAGAAGATTTGATTTTTTCCATTTTTTTTCATAGTATATACAAGAGCTCTGTGATTAAATATCTCAAAGGTAAATTATACATATCACTAAATTAATGGAATGATCAATTCTACATAACTTTCTTTTCCTTTTTTTTTTTTTTTAGTTTTGTTTTTTACTGGCAGTTGATGCCAGGAGTGTTCTAACAATGAGATCCATCCCCCACATCCCCCGCTTCTCCCCATCCCCCAGACAGGTTCTCACTAAGTGTCTTATGGGGATTATAGGTGTGTACCACCACATTAGACTTTACATTAGATTTACATGTAGTTTAGGAAATGAAAATGTGCACATTTAAAAATATGTATTATTGACTGGAATGGTGGTGCATTCATATAATCCCAACAATTAAAAAGGTTGAGCATAGAATCACAATTCCAGGACAGTCTAAGCAATTTAAGGAGGCGCTTGGCAACTTAGTGAGAGCCTGTCTCAGAAAAGGAAAAGGATTGGGGATGTAACTCAGTGATAAAAAGCATCCTTAGGTCCAATCCCCAATGCCAAAAAATAAATAAATAAATAAATAAAAGTGGTTTTTTATATTTAGTTATGAGGTATTTTCATATATAACAAAAATAATAAATGATTTCACTTAACAGAATATGGGAGAATTGATAAAAGTTTATTTTTATAATTTGACTTTTCTTTATTTCTAAACATATTAAGAGAAGTCAAGAAGCAAACTTTATATTAATTAAATCAAAAAGTTCAAATATGAATAATCTATTTATTTGAGGACTTTATAATTTATATGTAAATTATATTCAGTCATTCTGCTGAAATATGTATTAAATATAAAATCTCCAGTAAGAATAACATCAAGAGTAGCAAGCTTTTATTAAGTTGATTTTGTCAAACAGTGTAAACAACAATATAATGAAAAACACTTTTATCTTTCATTTGATGAAACAATGTATGCAGTATGTATGGTTATCTTCACTTTATACACAATAAAGATGAATGTTCGAAATATTTAAAGCATTCTCCAAGGCCATCAATTTGTGAGAGGTTGAACCAAAGCACCTTGCTTCTTGGTGATTGTGTGTACAATTTTCCAGTGAGATTTGGAGTTTTTGTCCATGTTTTTTTCTCATAATGGCTGGGTTGAGGCCTCACTGTCTTATGTGTTCACTGAAAAAATGAACTCTCCCTTTATTTGATTTACTTGTCTCTAAAATAATGATTCTTGATTTTATAACCTAGAGTAAATTGCTTTTTAACTGCTTTTGAGTTAAGAATGAGATTAAATTTACTCTCCAGATGCATTAGCTTCAAACTATTGTTTTGGATATCCCTCTGACCCTTATTGAAAACACTATATCTGACATTCCAAGAAGCAAGGGAATGAACTTGGAGTTGGAATCAATATTACTAAATTTTTATTATTAGAAGCTTTTTAACTCAGTAAAATCATTTTGTTCATAATAATCAATCTGAGTTTCAAAACTTTACTTCATACATTTTATGGGTGCATGAATACATGAGTTTAAGCAAAATAAAATTAATTTTTCCCAAAGACCTGAATAATAAACAGCTTTCTGTCTTCATCAAGGGCTTTTTTTTTTTTTTATCATTTTAAGGCCAAGATTACTTAGCAGTGGGTTAAAACTCCTTTTGGTAGAATTAGAAAAGTTTCTTTTTTGCCCTGTCACAGATTTGAAGACCAATAGTCTGAGAATTCCATGTTAATAAATAAGGAAACAGAATTTAGAATATCTTGATACAAAAATATCATAATTCCCCCATCCTTTAGACATTTCTTCTAAAAGAGGTTAAGGACAGATATATAAGAGAGCAAGATTTCTCCCCTTCTTTTACCTATGTAATTGAATTTCCATCTGTTTCTCTAAATCAATTTAATGGACCAGAATCTAAATGTTTGGGAACAGCAAATAATAGTGGGAAATTTAAATGCAATCAGAAGAATTTGATGTTAACTTCCTCTTAGAGTTCATGTTATTAACATTATTTTGGTTATTAAAAGTATTATTTTTATACTTATTGTTACTGTCTCATCAAAGTGGAGAACTGTCCTTTGTGAGCAATACACATTTCAACTTATGTATACACACTTTTTAAAAATGTATCTTGGGCTGGGGATATAGCTCAGTTGGTAGAGTTCCTGCCTTGCAAACACAAGGCCCTGAGGTCCATACCCAGCACCAAAATAAAATAAAATTAAAATTAATAAAAATGTATCTGGCCAAGGTCCCTGCATTGATTTGGAGTTAATCCAGTGTAGTGACTTGAATATATTTGTTGTACTGTCATCTAACAATTTGGGGGATTTCTCTTACAAGATATATATTTCTAAGGAAAGCATCATAAACCTCTAAACCCATGTTATGTCTAAACATCTGGGTCTTATTTCCTATAATGTAGGCCTTCTTTTAATAAAGTAAGAAACAAAGCTATATAAATCAATCAACACAGTTATTTAATAGAATCAATATTCTATACCTTATTAAGAATGGTAAGGATATGAAAATGCAGGCATATTTTAGCCACTTGGATCTTACATGAAGCTTAGTTCAACTTTTCTAATGTTTGTATAACATCTATCTTACTATTTATTATACAAGGCTCATATATTCCGAACAACCAGAAACTAACACTTCTTAGAAAAACAGATAAAATATGCACTGTACTTAAGGAAGATTCTACAGTGCCTTAACAATAAGTCAGAAACACCGCTTTTGAACATCACCTACCTTGACTAAACCCTCTTCTGCTTCCCCCAACCCCCCCCCCCCAAAAAAAAAAAAAATGGAACGTGAAAGGAAAAATGGGGAAGTAAAAAATACCCCAATAACTCATGCTCCTTTTTCGCGCTCCCACTTGCTTGATAGCATTCTGAATGGTCTTCTTATGTCTCTCTCTTTTTTTTTTTTTTCAAGTTATAGTAGTACTGTTTGCAGCTCTAAAGAGACAGCGGAAGAAGGAACCTCTGATCTTGTCCAAGGAGGACATCAGGGACAACATCGTGAGCTACAATGATGAAGGTGGTGGCGAGGAGGACACCCAGGCCTTTGACATTGGCACGCTGAGGAATCCTGCAGCGATCGAGGAAAAGAAGCTGCGGCGAGACATCATGCCAGAAGCGCTCTTTATCCCCCGCAGGACTCCCACGGCGCCTGACAACACGGATGTGCGGGATTTCATCGCCGAGAGGCTCAAGGAGCATGACCTGGACCCCACCGCGCCACCCTACGACTCCCTGGCCACCTACGCCTATGAGGGCAACGACTCGGTGGCTGAGTCGCTGAGCTCCCTGGAGTCAGGCACCACCGAAGGAGACCAGAATTATGATTACCTCCGGGAGTGGGGCCCCAGGTTTAACAAGCTCGCGGAGATGTACGGCGGTGGGGACAGTGACAAAGACTCCTAACCTGGATTTCTGTTCTGCTCAATAAGAGGAAGCGACGTGAAGGACACTGTCTCCACTTCACCATATTTGATAATCAGGAGACGTTTCCTGCCACTCAGCACAATTCTTTCCCATTTATTTCTTAATTTGTTCATTAATTGCATTAATTCTTTCCTGTAGGATGTCTCATAGAATATATGCGACATTTTATTTAATCACTTCCAAGAGCCAAAGCTATGGAAATTCAGTGTTGTCCATCTTAGTAAATTAAAAAAAAAAAAAAAAAAAAAAAAAAAAAAAAAATTCAGAAACATGAACAGGATAATTCTCCCTTAAGCAACCTCAGAAATGAGCCGCTTCTGTTAGGTACATGTTCTGCCCTTGCAAATGAAGCTTTTGAAAAGGTGCAGACAATTTTTAAGATATATCCTGTTCTGTACATTAAATTTAGAAAGAAAAAAAAATGTACATGTGGTGTTAGTAGGTGTGATATGCAACCTGGTATACAAACATTTGTGCAATTTCATTTCATCAAATTCTATCTGCTAATGTTTTATATTTATATTTTTGTATTTATTTTTAAAAAAATAAACCAGTTTTTACAACTACTTTGTCTCCAGCTTTTTTTTCCCCTAGGAAGAAAACAAGTTCTCCATGAACTAAATATCTTGGTAGAAAATTATATTAAATACAGGTAAGAAGACAAAGTCACTTTAATATTGAAAACGGTAACCAATTTAAAATAACTTAGTCAAGACTTATCTTTCCTAGTGAGTCTTGTTGTGTTATAATATGTGAAAAAAAATCTTAATATTAAAATTTTAATTTATATATCATTTCAATGTACCATTCAAACAACTTTAAAATATTGTCATCCTTGTACTAAAGACACCAAGCAATGCAATAATTTCATTTTGTTCATATTTCCTGAAATAATTGAGAAAGGAATAAAACATTTTTCTCATTTTTGTATGACATCTGTGCTATTGAGGTTTATAGGCAATAATAGTTCAGACAGATCTCAGACTGAAATCATGTTTTAATGGAAAATATATTTACCTCCCATGGTGACTTTGAAAATGGCTAGTAATGACAGTAATAATGCTGAATGTTCCATTAAGATACATCGTTGCAATTATGTCAACTTTCCAAAAATGCATTACACATTTATGTGTAACAAAGTCTGCTTTTCTGTCAATGAATGATTCAATAGCAAAGAAAAGGGAGGGAGGATTTTTTAGATAAATACACTGGCAGTTAGTGCCAGTCCAAAGTTTCTGAGAATCATGGAGTTTAGTTGCCACTAACTGATTCTTTGTTTCTCAAGCTCCACAACATAATTTATTTATAAGTGGAATACTTTATTGGATCTAAGCAAAGTTATGTTCCCTGTTGAGTATACTGTAAACAATACCAAAGATTTGTGTGTTAATTAGTGAAAATGCTATGGTTTGGAGTAAGTCAAGGTATGATATTGACATGTCCTTAGTGCAGAATTAGTTATTTCACTCTTTTTGAACACTAATGTTTTCTAACTCCCAGGTTGCCCCACATCACTCTAACCACAGATACTTAGGTTTGCATAGTAATAATGAAAGATAATGAAAAGATAATGAAAGATAAACAAGCCAGGTGGTCTAATTAAAATTACAGCCACATTTAAGACCAAATACACATCACACTGTATAGTAAGATCTAATCTGGCACACTCCCTCAAGTTCAAGAGCCCATTAATGATATACTGAAGTCTGGCTACCAAAAATATAAAGTTTAAGAAACAACAACAACAACAAAGTTTTATATGTTGAACTGAAAGGAAGAAAAATTCTCTAAACCCCCTAGGAAAAGAGTTCATTAAAAATAAAATTGGGGCTGGGGATATGGCATGGTGGTAGAGCACATGCCTAGCATACATGAGGCCCTGGGTTCCACCCTCAGCACCAGATAAAAAATAAAAAATAAAATAAAATAAAAGTATTATGTCCACTAACAACTAAAAAATATATTTTAAAAAGAATACTTTGTAATAAGATACTTGCACTACTTGTAAAGCAGTAAAATGTTAGAGGTGGATCCATTTTTAAAAAATTTGGTTAACAATGGAAAAGATAATAGGATATGTATCTTATGAGCATTTTATATTATGATTCAAAATATAATTTAAACATTAGTTTTAATGTTTCCAGCATTAGTTGTTTTTATTAATATTAGATGTTGGTAATTGACATTCTTAATTAAAGGATTTAATTATCTATGCTCAAATAATTTAAAAGCGACATTAACTTGTTGTCATTTATTTTGACATACATTTTTTTTTTAAGAATTCAAGGATTGTGACAATGATCCAAACCAATTTTCCAAAAATACTCTCTGAACTAATATTTGTTGGCAATGAAGGTGGTATGGTAAAGGTGTGAGATTTCTTGGTAACCCTGAAATTCAAAATATATGCCTATATTAACATGTTTAATTTTTCTTAATTGTTCTTCTAGAATTATTCTTCTAGAATTATTGTTCTTCTAGAATTATTGTTCTTCTAGAATTATTTGTTATTCTAGAATTATTTGCTACCAAAGGAACACACAAGGTTTAGCTTATTCTATGTCCAAATTTTGTTTTGTGTGGGGATTAGGGCAACTGTCTTCAGTATCACAGACTATTGATTTCACTGAACCAATGTGGGATACACATTTATTTATCCATTTATATGCTCATTTGTCAAATTTTTATTGAGCATCTATTAAAATCAACAAATGTTTTAACTCCTAGATATGTAAAAACAACTCATATAAACATTCTTCTATGAATGAAAATGAAAATATGGTAAAATTGTTATTGAAAAACTCTTATTTTATGACAAAACACCTAGATTTTCCTATAATCAAAATTTCTAAACACATAATAATAAATCATTCTGTTCTTTTTCATGATTAAATATTCAGATAAGTAAAAAAATATTGGCTTATAAATCTTTTGATCATTAGTAATGATAACTGAGTTCTCATTTTTTTAACTTTCAACAAATTACCAAAGACTTATATAATTTTATATTCAGTCTTAGATTGAGTTATCTCTTTATCTATATATATACAGATATATCTATTTGCTATATATTCTAAAATAAAACAAATTTAGATTTAGGACTGAGGATTAAGGATGTCTTCTTATCTAGTTCAGGTATCAATATATGTACTTAACTGTCTATAATTTATATCAATAGTATATTCATAGATATGTACATACAAACTATGAAAACAATAAAATTAATTCCATAAAATGTTCAATGATTTCATTCACATTGTGAAGTTTACAAATACATATAGACAAACACATAAACTCAGATATTTATTAAGTAATTTTCACTAGACATATTTATAAGAAAATGAATCACTTCTCATTTATTACAGGTCTTTTGATCCAATGAATACATAAAGGGATGGTAGGATAGAGTGATGCCTGCAATCATTCAGAACTCCTTTATTAATCATGATCAATACTTACCTCTGAAGTTATTTGAAGAATAAAATCATACAAAGCTAATAAATTTTCAAAACGTTTTGATAGAACAAATGGCTGAATTATAGACCTTGCCTCTAGGCAAGTAAGTATAACCAATGATACATATGTTCAACAGTAACAAAACAATATGCAGAATGATAAGTAAGAAATAAAATGAATAAATGAGCTGCGAGGACCTCTAATGTAAGGGTGGTAGCTGTCGGTTCCCCTCAACTGTTCTCTCAGTAGATAGTGCTGAGTATGTAGCACATGATAGTTATTCACTAAATATATATCTAGTCACTATCAAAGCATCTCATCCATTATGGTTATTCAAGGTAGAATTGGGGCCTTATTTATTTAATCCAATCAACTTCCTTACATGTGTCAATGATTCTTTTACTGAAGACTCTTAAAATGTAAATAGACTTTATTTAGTCTGTTACCATTTTTTTCAATTTTCCTAAGCACTAAGCAGCACTCTTGTTAGTTTTTGCCACACACTTAAAAGAGTTTAATCATTACAATAAGTTATATAGTGTTAATATATCCATATTATTCCTTTTAAATAAATTAATAGATTGGCTAAGTACTGCTATGCCCTCCTTGCAGTCGGGACTTGAAATTGTACACTTGGACAATTGCCAAGGTAACACATGCCAAATTTCTTTCCTTCCTTCAAATATAGTTTTGCCTAGTAATCCATCCAGTGTTGTAAAAAAAGAAATCAGTGATTTTTCTGAAGAAATTTTTTTAAAAATTTTGTATTGTTCTGTTTCTCAAAGATTTCACTGAAGCCTCCTTACCTATACGTTTAATTCTGAATTCCTATGAAAGATTAATAAATTTGCCCAACTGAAAACACTTTTGTTTTTAACAAACAGTTTGAACTCAACTTAAAATTATCTGTGGGTTTTTTCCTCATTGCTATGTTTATAAACATCATTTTAATGCTCAAGATCACCTAGTTTACAAGCCTAAAATTTTCTGGAAATTTCAAATACTATTACTACTTATTAGTAGCATCAATTACTTAACATATTCAGAGATGAGCCATCTAATTCCCACCAAATCCATATCAAACCTTCTCTAACTGCTGTCTGCTTCACCTGTGATTGGGAATGTTGTTTTTCCAGTGAAATGCTCAATCAAGTTATTGGAGTAATTCTCGATCCTACCTATTCTTACAAATCTCACATTCACGTGGTTGGATTTGTTTCATTTTTAAAATACACTGTTAATAGTTCAGATATGTGGTGTCACCCAAAGTTCATGTGTAAGACAATGTGAATTTATTAGATTTCAGAAGTGGAATGATTGTATTATGACAGGCATGATTTAAACAGTGGGTTAATCCACTTATATGGATTAACTGGATGGTAACTATAGGCTGGTAGGGTGTGGTCAGAAGGTTGTGCCCTTGGAGTATATATTTTGTCCTTGGTGAAGGAAGCTCAGCACTCTCTCTGCTTCCTGGTTGCCATGTTCTGAGCTGCTTTCCTTTGCTTGCCCTTCTGCTGTGA